CGGCGCGGGGAGCTGGTTCTGGGGTCCCCACCGCTAGCGCACCGCCGCGTCGGGCCTGCGGCAGCGTCTAGGCGGGAGCGCCCAACTCGGTTTATCCGCAGAAATGCAGCCCCTGAGGTGCCTTCGCGTCGTCTCCTCCCTCGGGTGACTCGAGGTATGTTCGATCCCGACACCCACCTGGGGAATTCTTCTCTGCCTCAGTTTCCGATCCTTTGCACAGCTCCGTTGTCCTTTCAGGCTTTTGTTGCTGCAAGAAAAATATTTTTCTTCTTTCGTAAAGCCTTAGTTGCACCACACGTTTTTTAAGAAGTAAAATGAACCCACTTGTTAGAAGTAGTAATCCAGTGTGGTTTTTACTAGGGAAGACCTTTTTAGCCCATTGAGTTGTAGCATTTCGCTTCTAAGAGAGCGGTAGGAAATAGAAAGTGGCTTTTTAACCAAACTTGATGGAAGGATACCGTGTTACCCTAATAAAGTCTGCCAACCACTTCCCTTACATGGCGCTGCACTCCTTCATGCCTTATCTCCAGCTAAACTTACCCCTTTGTCCCAAATCTGCCAACTTGTGACCTCTGAGAAATGAGCACTTGCCCCACTCATCGTGCCGTTTCTTTACAAGTACTTCCCTGTCAGTAAAGGACCAGAACTTACTGCGGTGAAGTCTACCCTCGTCCAAAGTCGTCCGTCAGGCCTCGGGAGTATGTGCTCTGTACCCATCATTTTCCATGGCTTTATTCATTTTTCAGTACTCGGTCATTTGTTTAAATAAATTGTTTCTGCGACTAGGGCAGAGGCCATCCTTCGTACCCGATATCCACCGCCACCCACATCAAATCCCACGACTTTTTTCATAGCATCCAGTTTAGATATTGCTAGGTTAGTAATTTAACTGTTTTCTACCTCTGCATTTAATACTCAAACGCTGCGATTAACTTCTGTAGAAAATTCCAGGTGGGGTGCCTTTTTTTTTCTTTTTAATAAGAGCTTTATTTCAGACATAATTCACATCCAAGCAACTCACCCATTTAAAATATACAGTTCATCGCTCTTACTATATTCACAGAATTGTGCAGTCATTACTACAATCACTTTTAGAACATTGCACCTTTTAGCACTGCCTCCCTACCCCACCCCATCCTTACCTCCAGCAGCCTGGACAACCACTAATCTATTTTTTAATCTCAAAATTTGCTTACTCTGGATTTCATAGAAATGGAATCTTAAAATATATGGCCTTTGTTTGTTTGTTGTTGTTGTTTTGGGGGATTTGTTTTGTTTTTGGTACCAGGGATTGAACTCAGGACCTCAGGCAGGAACTGTGCTGTTGAGCTATATCCTCAGCCCTTTTTTGGTTGTTCTGAGACAAGAGCTTACTGTGTAGTTCAGGGTGTCCTTGCATTCACAGTGTAGCACATTCAAATTCCCAGTGACCTTCCTGCCTCAGCCTCCCAAGTGCTGGGACTATAGGTGTGTGCCACCATGCCTAGCAAATACTTGGGCTTTTGTGATTGGTGTCTTTCACTTGGCATGTTTTTAAGGTTAATCCATGTTGTAGTGTGTATGGAGTACTTTGTTCCTGTTGATAATCTAATAATCCTCTTGTCTGGCTGTGCCCAGTTTTATTTATCCATCCAACCATTGGTGGACTCTTGAATCATTCTCATTTTGGGGCTTTTAATAACATATGCTATTAATGTTCCTGAATAAATTTTTGTGTAGACAGCATTCCATTTTTCTTCAGCAAAATGCCTGGTGCTTTTGTGATTGGTGTCTTTCACTTGGCATGTTTTTAAGGTTAATCCATGTTGTAGTGTGTATGGAGTACTTCGTTCCTGTTGATAATCTAATAATCCTCTTGTCTGGCAGTGCCCAGTTTTATTTATCCATCCAACCATTGGTGGACTCTTGAATCATTCTCATTTTGGGGCTTTTAATAACATATGCTATCAATGTTCCTGAATAAATTGGTGTCTTTCACTTGGCATGTTTTTAAGGTTAATCCATGTTGTAGTGTGTATGGAGTACTTCGTTCCTGTTGATAATCTAATAATCCTCTTGTCTGGCAGTGCCCAGTTTTATTTATCCATCCAACCATTGGTGGACTCTTGAATCATTCTCATTTTGGGGCTTTTAATAACATATGCTATCAATGTTCCTGAATAAATTTTTGTGTAGACAGCATTCCATTTTTCTTCAGCAAAATGCCTGAGAGTATAATTGCTGTGTCATTTGTAACTGTGTGTTTATCCTTCTGGGGAACTTCCAGACTTTTCCCAAAGTGGCTGTAGGATTTTGTGTTTTCACCAGATTTGTTTGAAAATTTTCAATTCCTTCATAACCTTAGCAATCCTTGTTATTGTCTGTCTTTTTTGTTTTAACCTGTTGCAGATTGGAAATGGTGTCTCACTGTGATTTTGATTTCTTTTTCCCTAATGAAAATTGATGCTGAGTTTCATTCCTTAGGCTTATTGGCTACTTACATATCTTCAGATCCTTTGCCCATTTTGATCCTTTGCCATTTCAGATCCCATTTTTTAAAAATCGAGTTTATTGGTACATTTTAGGTATGCAGTACAGTTACATTCATTATTGGGATCTTATACCTTTACATGACAAGTCTGAGTTTTGTTCATGGATTATGAGGACTTTTAATATATTCTAGATATATGTCTCTAATCTATGAATTGCAAAAGCTTTGTCCCATGCTATATACATTGCTTTAATTTTCTTGACAGTGAAGATTGTTTGGTTTTTCCTATCTGTCTTATCAAAAAGCACTAGTGCCAGCGTCCCTATACTGCTATCAGAAGCTTCCCATTTCGACACTTTGTAGATTGCTCTCAGATCTACATTTCCTTGAAGAACCCTTTCTAACCTTAAAATAAAAGTAATTTTATTAGGCACTGTGTTGGTATGACTTAAAAACTCAGTCTGCCACTAACTGACATTTGTATCTTGGTTAAGTCAGTTAATGTCATTCATTCTCATAATGAATTTAAAAAAAAATTATTTCTAGTAATTCACATGAGTAGCAAACTTCACTCACATACTTGATTGTGATAAGAAAAGCTTTTCAGTCAAATTAATTTATAGTGGATGTCTAAGGTGTGAGTGGCCTGGAATAGGAACAGCAGTGTTTACAAGTTGTCCGTGAGTAATTGAATGCTGTTATTTTATACTCTGGAGTTGTACCTTGGGAAAGGTGAAGTGCAGAACCAACTAAACGCTCTGCTCTCCCACTTGGGAGGCACTGGCAGTACCCGCAAGAGTTCCTTTGCACCCCCTCCCCAGTCTCTCTTCTCCTCCTGTAGTTTTCTCTACAGACCAATTCCTATGGCCTTACAAAACCTGTAAAGACCCCCCCAATCCTTGAATATTAATAAATACCAGTTTGTAGATCTATAAAAGACATGATGTGCTTGTTCCTTTTAAAAATTTATTTCTAGGTGCTTGGGTGGATTTTCTTTGCTTTAGTGGGTGGACAAGATGCTTACCACACAGTTTGTAAACCAAAACATGAAATAACATTTTTTATATTTAAACATCAAATGCCTTTTAAAAAGCTCTTTAAGAATTTTGCTTTTGGTCCACAACATGGCCTTCAGTTAAGAGATCCCGTAGAGTCTTTTCAGAATTGTATTGGTCATTCTTGTCTGTGGATTGCTTCTGGTACCCTCAACAGCTTGCACTTTGCTATTATAAAAAAAAGCACACTTTTTAGAACTGCTCTGGCACTAAAAAATAAGAATGGTTTCATGTGCATTTTCAGTACTGAGGTATAAGCTAATTTTTTCTTTTCTGAATTTTTTTGTGTTCAAAATTAGTAAATTCAGTGATGCTTGCAAAGGTAAAACTTTAGTATATTTCCTTTGAAATTTTCTCGGAGCATGGATTGTATCCATAGAATAATACAGATTTTCTTAGAAAATTAACTTTATTGAACAAAAATGAGACAATTGCTAAAACTTGTTTCTAGAAACTTATTCATTTATTGTTGCTGAACCTAGAGAACTATTGATTTAGAATAATACTTTTTAAAACCTGTCACTTTTTGTTCTCTTTTTTAAAAGGGATTTTTAGTTTGTTACACGACTTCTGAGTTGAAGTTTTAATATCTTAAGAATTCCCTCCCACTAGATCAGCAATTCAATCTCTTGTTTCTTACCCCGTGAATAATACAGAAGAAGCATGACTCATTTTCAAATCCTAAATAAAGCAGCATTTCTGTATCTGTTCTGTTGGCCTATTTTCAGAGTAGCATCTGAAGAAAGCATATGGTTTAAGTCAGTGTAGCGGTACCATCTTTCACCCTCGAGCTGTCTTTTCACAGCTTTTGTTTCCTAAGTCTTAGAGCTGTTTTTCCTTTGACACGCTAGAGGTAGAAGCCCTGTGAACACATTCAGGAATTCCACCCTCGCACCAGCATATGCCAAATTTTCACCTCAGAGAGTAAGTTTAGTTATTCTGATTTTATTTTCTTTGCAAGTAATCCAATTTAGCATTTGAAAGATTTCCCTATATTGGTTGTTTCATGCAAAGAAAATATTAAAGACTTTAAAATATTCCAAGATCTATAATTAAAATTCAGATGATAGAGCTTTATTACTTTTGTCTTTGTTGTAAAACTGAATTGCTAAAAAAATTGGTCCTCATTTTTCTTAATATCCTTAAGATATTAGAAAAAATACACTTTAAGTTATTTTTTAAGTCTGATGTACTTAGTACCTGTCAGATTCCCCTTATCTTGTCCCTGCACATGACATTTCTCCTTGACTGGAATACCCTCTCACTTCTGTCTTACCTATTTATTTACGATCTTGACTAAAATCCAGTCCAATATTTCTCAAAATAGCTTACATGAATCACTAGTTTATATGCTCTGCTATTATATATCATGACAAAAATGGGGCCCATGGTCAAATAAGCTTTAAAAACTCAAATAATACATTTTAAACTGGATTGTGGTCATGTTTTTTAATTTCAAAGAGGTCTCAAAGTCATTGATTTGCTTATAACTGTTGTGATTTTTGAAGATGACTGTCTAGTGTACAGTTTCTCAAACTTCTTTGATCGTAGACAGCTTTGATGAGGTATTCTTTGTACAAGTGAATTTGAATCCTTTAGCCTTTTTCCTTTTTTAAAATCCTGTTGAAATCACTTCTCTCACCATCCCAGTTTCCCCTTGTGTTTCTGAAGCTTCTCTTCTAATTTCATAGTCTGCTTTCACTTCGTTCTTAAAGAGAACTGTTTTATTTGATTACTGAGATTTTTGTGGTCCTTAAATGAAGATAATCTACCCTGTGGGATATATAGGTCCTGTGCGTTCTTCCCCAGTTCTGGTAGATTCTGGAAACTGCCAACTGAAAGGCTAAAAATTGAAATGAAGTTATTTTCAGTGGTAACACAGTTAATAAAAATAAGCATTTACTCTGACACCTAAAATCTTCTAAGTTTCAGTTGATTGTTCTTCTTACTACTCATTGATCTATAAATGGTTATATGAATTTTTATTGAAATGCTACTTATATTAGCTGCATTTAATTTTTAAATTGTTGGAAAATCCTAAATTAACTATTAAGTGATATGGATAACACTTAGTATTTCTGTTTTTCCACTTTTATTTCCATTTCAACTCAAAGGAATTATAAGTAATATTCCTCTTTTATAGTGCAGGGATTGGCAAATGATGGCCCTCAAGCTAAATCTGGCTTATATCCTATTTGGATAAATATTATAAGGTTGTATTGAAATATAACCATCATGTTAATTTTCATATTGTATGGTCTGTGGCCACTATTGTGCTATAGCAGCAAGATGGGATCATTATAACAAAGCTTAACATATTTACTCTGAGAACATTTGGAGGAAACATTTACTGACCCTTATAAAAAAAGTCAGACAATAAAAACTCAACTGAGAAATGTCCAAAATGCTGGCAGATTGTGTGTGTGTTTCAATAAAACTTTATTGGTGGACATTAAAATTTGAATTTCACATAATTCTCATATGCCACAGGATATTGTTTTCTATGGCAGATTTCTTTTTTTTCCCTCTTTCTCATTGAGTTTATTGGTACATTTTACGTATACAATACAGTTACATTTATCATTGAAATCTTGTACCTCTACATGACAGGTCTTGGTTCTCATTTTTTCCCCTTGTCCCTGCCCTCCCTTCACCCCCTCCTCCCTTCCCCATTTACAAACACTTTATTTCCATTTTTTCATTTTCTCATTTTTTTTTTCTTTTCCCTTATTACCTTTCCCCTACCCTTCCCACTTTCCCTACACCTTTAGCCCTTTTCTTCCTATTCACACTGTCAATTATCTCATTAGGATTTTATGTACCATTATATGGCAGATTTCAATTGAGAGTAATACTGACTTTTTGAACATTGGCCTCACAATCTAAAATTATGAGTTAAGATTAATTTCAAGTATGGAGTTATAAGTAAATTAACTTTCCCCTACCCTTCCCACTTTCCCTACACCTTTAGCCCTTTTCTTCCTATTCACACTGTCAATTATCTCATTAGGATTTTATGTACCATTATATGGCAGATTTCAATTGAGAGTAATACTGACTTTTTGAACATTGGCCTCACAATCTAAAATTATGAGTTAAGATTAATTTCAAGTATGGAGTTATAAGTAAATTAATAAATAATATAATTTTAAAAACAATTTTGCAAATTTATTTTGATTTTTAAAAAATCAGCAACTTAGCGCTGAGTATGTGTTAGCCATAGAAATAGTTAGAAATCCTGTTCTTAAAGAACTAAGGAGATATAATAGAAATGCAGGTTTTTTTTTATTCCAAGTCCAAGTGTGATATTTTCAAATAGTGACTTCTTTTCCCTTCTCTCAGAGACGACTGGTTACAGAAGAGGATGTGACTGTCAGAATACTCCAGGGAGAAGGATGAGTCCAGATTTGCCTCTGCTGAATGATTACAAACAGGACTTCTTTCTGAAGCGCCTTCCACAAACTATTCTTGGAGGCCCTCGACTCAAATTAGGCTATTGTGCCCCTCCTTACATCTATGTGAATCAGATTATCCTTTTTCTGATGCCATGGGTTTTCGGTGGAATAGGAACACTTTTGTACCAACTAGACATTCTAGAAGACCATTATGCAGCAGTGCTTTCAGGCGGACTGATGCTTGTTGCTGCACTCGTCATCCAGTTCACGAGTGCAAAGGCTAAAACCAAATCAGTGACAGTGCAAAGAATATTTACGACAGATATCTTAGCAGAAGAAGATGAGCATGAGTTCACAAGTTGTGTGGGTGCTGAGACTGTCAAATTTCTAATTCCAGGCAAGAAATATATAGCCAATACAGTTTTTCATTCTGTTCTTGCTGGATTGCTGTGTGGTCTTGGAACATGGTATCTGCTCCCAAGTAGAATCACCTTGCTGTATGGCTGTACAGGAGGCACTGCTGCACTGTTTATCTTTGGATGGATAACTCTCTGTATAGGAGAATATTCATTAATTATAAACACACCTACAGAGACTGCAACTTTCCAAACCCAGGATACTTATGAAATCACTCCTCTCATGAGACCTCTTTATATTATTTTCTTTGTTTCTGTGGACCTTGCACACAGGTAAAAAAGAACCTACCACATTCTTCATAACTATCTTTGTTTATAAGTGTGTCTAGTAAGAACTCTCCTTAGTGTTTTTAAAACAAATGAATTTGTGGCTTAAAAATCATGAAATAAGTCATTGGATGATAGGTTATTTTGATGATTCATCTTTTAGGACTGATCTCTGATATATTCATACTTAAAGCAGTAAATATTATTGAAGAGTAAAAAATATTTCCCTTTTTAGGATAAATGAGCAATTTTTCAATCTATGTAATACTTTAAATAATGAGTTTTGAAAATCTGTACAATAACCTGGCTAACCCTGTGAGAAGAAATAGAACTTTCTTTTCTGGATGAATGGAAATACTTTAAAATTTATATGTTACATACAGATTGAGTGAATTAAGATGAATAAAAGTGTAAAAATTAATATTCGCTGTTACCATAACAATATCAGAAATCACCTTTTTTTTGTGGGGGGGTACCAGGATCGAACTTGGGACCTTGTGCTTGCAAAGCAGGTGGCAGAGCCACTGAACTAAATCCCTGGCCTGGAAATGTTGATTTTTAAAGTAGTTATAGAAGAAAAAATAGAAAATCTTTCAAAAGATACTTATAAGCATAATTATCCAAACTGTTTCATAAGAAATTTTGTATGCTTTTCTACATCTCACTTTTTTTTCTCTGTTTCTATAGATCGCAGCTTTCTGTTTCCCAGGTTAGTGTCCAGGTAGAAATGTATAGGCATGTTATGAACTGAATGCTTGTGCTTCTCCGTCCCCATTGCCAGATTCTTCTGTTGAATCCCTAGGCCCTAATGTGATGTTACTTGTAGATGGATCCTTTGGGAGATAACTAGGTCTTGAAGGTGGGGCCGTAGTTGGTAGGGATTTGTGCCCTTCCTTATAAGAGGAACAGGAGAATGTGGTCTCTCGCTTTCCACCATGTGAAGACACAGCAAGAAGGCAGCCACCTGTAAACCCAGAAGAGGGCCCTCACCAAAACCTGACCATACTGGCAGTCTGACCTTGGACTTTCAGTCTCCAGAAGTATGAGAAAATGAGTCACCCAGTTTATGGTGTTTTGTTTTGTCAGCCCAAGCTAAGATTTAATGCAGAGAAATGGGACACTGCGACAAATGCCTGAAAATGTGGAGGTGGCTTCGTGACTAGGTAATAGGTAGAGGTGAAAGGGTTGGGGCATACATGCTACAAAAAGCAATGGTACAGCTAATTCCGATGAGATCTCAGATGGAACTGAAGAACAAATTACTAGCTACTGGAAGAAAGTGATAAAGAACTTGGCTAAACTGTTTTCCAGTGTTTTGTAGCAGATTGAACTTAAGGTGATGAAATTGAATATTTAAGGAAAATTTGAAGCAAACTATTGATGGAACAGCTTGATCCCTAAATGCAAAAGGGGAGAGATGAAGAAGTGTAAAAAGAAAAAAAAGCAACTGGAACTTGAAAATTTGCAAAATTCCTAACCTATCCACATTATAAAACAAACATAAGAAAGAATATTCTAATGAGAACACCTAGAGTGTTCTGGCCTGTTGCTTACTTACAGTACTTAAGAGACTATGTGAGTGGACACACTGCCAAGTTGAAATGGAAGGGTTGGAGATATGATAAAAAGAAGGAAGACTGTTGAGCTTCTTGGAATTGACAGGACAGGATGATAGATTTGAAGGCAAAGCTTCAATAAAAATGATGCTCAAGGTGATGTGGAAGGTCATCTGGGCCACCACCTCAGTTTCAGTCGGTCTCATGACCTCTACCTAAACCTTCAGGGGTAGAACCACTGCCTAGAGCTATGGGGGTAACTCTAGAGCTGTAGGGTGGGCAGTTCCATTCCAGGGACCTAGAGGACAGAGTACATAAGCAAAAAGTATTATTTCTAAGCCTTAAGAGCATATGCATTTTTTTTTGCTAGGTTTTGAACTTTTGATCCATCTCTAAATGATGCTCAAGGTGATGTGAAAGGTCATCTGGGCCACCACCTCAGTTTCAGTCGGTCTCATGACCTCTACCTAAACCTTCAGGGGTAGAACCACTGCCTAGAGCTATGGGGGTAACTCTAGAGCTGTAGGATGGGCAGTTCCATTCCAGGCACCTAGAGGACAGAGTACATAAGCAAAAAGCATTATTTCTAAGCCTTAAGAGCATATGCATTTTTTTTTTTGCTAGGTTTTGAACTTTTTGGATCCATCTCTTTTTTCCTATATGTCCCTTTTACAGGGAATGTTTCTCCTGTTCCTGCCCCATCACTGTACTATATTTTGGAAGTAGAGTACAGTATTTGCCTAGTTTTACAGATTCACAACTGGAGAGGATTTTTGCCTCTGGATGGACTGTGAGTCTCACCCCTATCTGACTTAGGTGATATTTAGATGACTTTAGAGTTAATGCTAGAATCTGTGAAGAACCTTGGAGTTTGGGGCAGGGCAACAACAAAATGCCATAGACTGAATTGTGTCCTCCCAACTTCTGTAGGAGCCACAAAGAAAGGACCTTTTAGAGGTGATTAGGTCATGAAAGTGGGATCCTGGTGTGATGGCATTAGTTCCCTTGTGAGAAAATACCCATGAGAGCTTGATCTCTCTCTCTGCCATGTGAAAACTGTGCAACAAGGCAGCCGTGTGTAAACTAAGAGGGTCCTTCTAGACACTGACCATGCTGGTACCCTCATCCTGAGCTTCCAGCTTCCAGAATTGTGAGAAATAGGTTTTTGTTGTTTAAACCACCCAGTGTACCATATTTTGTTATGGCAGCACAAGCTAAGACGAGACATGTTAAAATATTTGTTTTGTATACAGAAGCTGATCTCTTCTGGAGTATGTGTTCACTGTTTCTTAAATCCTAATCTCTTCTACTTGTACCACATTTGTGGGCCAGGGGATGATATAGGAACCATGTAGTTCTTCACATAATCAAATATGTAAGGGGACTGTTCATAAAAAATGTGTCTACAGTTGCTTTAATTAACCATGATTTAATAACTACATTATAATTAAAGGCTTAACTTGGAAAAGGTAGTAGTAAAATTATGTTTAGGTGTATGTATAAATATGATTTTTTAAATATTTAAATTTTTATAAGATGTATTTTCAGAGTACAGATTCTTGAGTTACTAATTTGAAATGAGAAATTATATATCTGCTGTAGTATATTTTTGCATCTAAAATGATGTTCTGAATGCTTTAATTTTATTTAAAAGATCAGACAGTTAATTTGGATTCCTTGACTTTCTGCATTATTCATTTCTTAATGTAATTGCATAGGTTTCTTACTGAGTTCATCCTGGATTTAATGTTATTTTAATGTTCAAAAGTGTAATAGCTGGGAATATGACGCAGCAGCACAGCACTTGCCTGATAGGTGTGAAGCCGAGTTCAATTCCCAATACCAAAAACAAACGAACAAAAAAAACTTTGATAAATGCAGACTTTTTTTCCCTATGACTAACATCAAAGTGAAAGGCTCTGACCACTTCTGTTGTTGAGGAAGAAGTGACGGGCTTATGGAAGAAAATTACCTCTCATTCCTTTTTAAGAATAATTCACCTTATAAATAATAAAATACTAAAGAATTGAGATGCTCTTTACACAGTAGGTATGGTAATACAGTCAAAAGTATGGAATTCATATACTTTTCAAATCTGGACAGTTGTGAGAAGTATCAGGTTACTTCTGAGTTTTATTTCAGAGGACGTGAAAGCTGAAGAGATGTACCCATCATTTAGTACTTTTTCTCTTCCTTTATTCTTTTTTGGAGGACCTTGTGATTGTGAGGCAGGTGGTGGCACCACTGAGCTAAATCCCTGGCCCTCTTTATCCTTTATTCCCCACCGTACAGTTGTCCGTTAACAGTGTGAATGACCTAGTGCATTGTTGTCAAAGACAAATACAAGATCTGTGTGCTAGGCTCGAGACAGAATGAATAATATACATTTACATCCTCTTAGCCTCTGTACGGAACATCTTCGTGGCATTGCATCTCAGTGTGCAACATTTTTATAGTTGTTTTGTTCAAACAATTTTTTTCTAAACAGCAGACACTTTATTACTCTAAAATTTTTCTGTTACATTTCCAGAAACCTTAGATTTAAATGTATTTCCATTAAAAACAGCAATAATCATCTATTTGGGTCTGAGTCATATATACAAGAGAATATTATTTATCATGTCTTTGTATTGTCCTGCTTATATTTAAAAACAAAAAAGATTTAAAAGAGGCTCAATTTTTTTTTTTGGGTACCGGGGATTGAACTCAGGTCTTTGCGCTTGCAAGGCAGGCCACCAAACCACTGAGCTAAATCCCTGGCCCAAAAAGAGGCTCAAATTTTGATGAGATTAATTTTCAGAGTACACATTCTCTTCATACACAGCATCCTTTCCTTGAGTTTGTTTGCAAGAGGAGTGTTGTCTTCAAAACAAAACAAAACTAGCAATCTTCATATTTTTCTTGACCTTCCTTGACCTGATTTTCTTTTTCTTAAGTATTTCTTTACTGGAATAATGGTATGTCCTCTTCTTTCTCATTACGTTGTTAACCTTATATTCTGTTAATTGTCTTCGTATAGCAATTTGAAGGTCCTACCTACAGTATGAAGCGGTGAACTAGCTGGCACAGTCCTGGCATCTCTGTGAGCTTTATATCTTTCTTATGCAGATAGGTGCTATCCTTTTTCCTTCTGGGCTGTGATCATGCACTTAAGTGGGTTAACATTGCACAAGTTTTTTGTCCTTGACTTGATTCCTACATAGAAGCCCAGCTAGTAAAGTACAGTACAGTTGGGCTATAATTTTAGAACTTTAGCCTTGTCTTTTGAAAGTGTTTAGTTGTCCATATGTATTTTGACCTTGTTGGTCTCAGGATGTAGTGTTGCTTAGCTGTAGTCTAAAAAATTTGTAAATTGTTCATGATGTTTATTTTACTATGCTTGCAATGTTTACTGAATTAGTATTCAATTTAATAATGTCATATTTAATTACAAGTACTATATCAAGTATCAGTTTTTCCACTTAAGGGAGAGGCAGCTCCTACTTTGTGAAGAAATTTTGTTATACAACTTCGTGTTCTCAGACCATGATGTTGCTGGTACAACATAGAATAGATGCTAGTTACATTTCCAGGATAATACACAGAGATTCAGTCATAACCTGAATTGCCACCTGCAGATATTAAGTGTGCTGACTTCAGATGCTAAGTCAGAGCAGAACAGTGTAAGAGAGAGGAAGAAGGGAGCCTTCTGCTGTGCAAACTACTAAAATATGAATGTTCCTGAGGCTTGGCTTTTCCACAGTGACTTACAGTCTTAAATATAAAGTTCTAAGTTCTACAGAATCATTGGTAGATCTCAGCCAATGAGATTAGATTTGCTCTGGCCTCAGTTGTTTAGTTTTATACGTACCTGTATTCCATTTTGTTACTATTCATCAGTTCCTTTTAATTATTTCTTCTTCTTTGCTTTTCAGAATCTGCATTTTCTTTCTCTAAATGCTACACTTGTTCACAATTGAGAAGAGATGGTCGCTGGTTTAGGGGAGGGACAGTGGTCACAATATGTATATGATGTTTACAAAGCAGGACTAGAACTTTAAGTGTTCTTTATTTTGAGGGCATTTGTGGTTTTGTTTCATTCTTTCTTGGAAAGGCCCTCTTTATATTATTTTGTATGATTTAAATGTCATTTTTTCACTTGTAGGCTTATCAAAGTAACACCAGTTCTCCAGCATATGAATCAGGTTTTGCACATCCTGTTTGTATTTTTACCCTTCCTGTGGGCACTTGGGACTCTGCCCCCACCTGATGCTCTTTTCTTATGGGCCATGGAGCAGGTTTTAGAGTTTGGCCTTGGAGGCTCATCTATGTCAACACACCTACGGTAATTTAAAAAATATCTTTGTAATATGTAACTTCCTCTTAGAGGACACTTTTCTTTTCAAGTAAACTTAATTTTTCTTTCCTCTACAGGTTGTTAGTGATGTTCATCTTTTCCGCTGGAACAGCTGTAACGTCGTATTTTATTCCCAGCACTGTGGGTGCGGTTCTTTTCATGACTGGACTTGGTTTCTTACTGAGTCTTAACCTAAGTGATACAAGTTTTGTCTTCAAGCACAGCAAGACCAGAAACAGGGCAGAAATGGAAGCTCAGACTTCCCCCAGGGCTTCGGAAAGGCATTTTCCATGGAAACAGTTCCTCTTACGTGTCATTGTGTTAGTCGTGGCTCTCTTAGAAACTGGTCTGCTGCATCACTTCGCCGGATTCTCACCGACTTCGGAAAGCAGTTCCCAGGCTGTTGTTGGCTACATTTTGATGCTATTACTTGTAATACTATGGATACTTAGAGAAATCCAAAGCGTCTTTATCTTGGGAATTTTCCGAAACCCTTTCTATCCAAAGGATGTGCGAGCTGTGACTGTATTCCTAGAGAGGCAAGCAAAGCTTCTGAAGGCCGGTGTCATTAGATGGATTTTGCTCACTCTGGGTATGATAATAAAATCTAGTAACTTTGTATTACAAACCGTTTCTCTGAAGTGTTCAAAAATATGGCTTTACCCTGCGTATTCTTTGTCTTGTGTATTACTAATAAACTGTTTGCTAAAATAAGATAAAGTATGGTAGAAAAAGTTACTTTGCCTAAAGTAAAGCTGTGTCTTTCTTTGTTTTTAGTGTCACCTTTTGCTATGATAGCGTTTCTTTCCTTGGATAATTCCTTACAGAGGCTCCACTCTGTGTCTGTCTCCATTGGATTCACAAGAGCTTTTCGAATGGTAATCCTAATGTGTACTTAATAGTATTTTCTAATTGCCAAGTGTGATTCTGATTTTTGTTTAATTCTAGCTGTTTGCTCAGATTATCACATTCTACTTGATAAAAGTAGGTCACTTGTATCCTACAGGTGTGGCAGAATACAGAAAATGCTTTACTGGAGACAGCCATTGTATCAGCACTTCATTTATTGATCTCCAGTACAGACTTATGGTGGAACAGGAACCTAAATACAGGACTGAAACTCTTATTGGTAAGTTTATTTTTAATGGCTTGATTGGAAGTTAGTCACACACCACAAAAGTCACCTATATAAGTGTAATCTTCAGTGGTAGATATTTGCAAGTTTGTAGCCATTGCTACAACTACGAATGTCTTTAACACCCCCCAAAGACTTCACATATGTTGTGGTTGTCCACCATTCCCACTCTCCATCTCACTCATAACTATTCGAGGCCCAGCAGCCACTTACCTGCCTTCTGTGTCTATAGATTTGCCCCTTCTAGACATTTTACCTAAATGGAATTAAATACGTGGTCTTTTGCATCCGGTTTCTTTCACTCCTGTGTTCACGAGGTTCATTCATGTTGTAGCTTGCATTAGTTTTTAATCCTTTTTATTTTCAAAATATTCCTTTGTGTAGGTATACCATCCTTGGTTGATTCACTCAAATGATGGACATTTAGGTTGTTTTCCCTTTTCACTATTAAGAATATTGTTGCAAAAATTGATGTGCATATGTTTTTATTTCCCTTGGGTATTTCTGTATTTAACTCTTTGAGTTATGGCAGAACTGTTTCCCAAAGTGGCTGTGGCATTTTATATTTCTCTTAGCACTGTGTGCGATGAGGATTCCAGTTCCTCCACTTCTTCTTTAGCACTTAATACTACCTTTGTCATTCTAACCATACTGATAGATATGAACTACTACCTTGTATTTGGATTTACCATTCTCTCATTGCTAGTGATGCATCTTTTCGTGTATTCACTGGCCATTTATATATGTTTTTTTTGCAGAAATGTCTATTGAAATCATTTGTTCATTTTTATTTGGACTGTTTGTATTGTTAACTTGTTAGAGTTTGTAATTCTAGACACAAATCCCTTGACAGATATTTAAAATATGTAAACGCTTTATCCTGTTCTGTAGTTTGTCTTTTTGTTTCCTTGAAAATGTCATTTGGAGTACAAAATTTTTTAATTGTTTATTTTTCTTTTATTGCTTCTGTTTCTGGTGTCTTTAGAAGCATTATTTCCTCAAAGATCATGAAGATTTACTGTGTTTACTTCAAGGGATTTGTAGTTTTAACTCTGCATGTAGACCCATGATTTCCTCTGAATTAACATATATAATGTCAGGTAGGGTTCCAGATTTATTCTTTGGCATATGAACATACTGTTGTCCTTCTGTTGGAAAGACTGTCCTACCACGAGTGACATTTCTTGCTACCTTTGTGAAAAATCAAAATAAGATTTATTTCTGGAATTCTTCGAGTATTTTTCTTTTCAGCTGTATGTCTGTTTTCATAACAGTTGCACACTGATTTGGTTGAATATAGTAGCTTCCCAGTGGCTTTTGAAGTTGAGAAGTGTGAGTTCTCCAATCTTGTCCTTCTTTTTCAAGAATGTTTTGATGATCCTGAGACCCTTGCATTGCCATATACATATAGTGCTACCTTGGTACTTATGGGTAATTGGTTCTGGGAGACATGACACATACCAAATTGCTTTGGCTGGGAAGGATACTTGTCAGGAGGCTATCAATACTGACAGGTTCTAGCTTGTGTGTCAAGTACCAAGCAGATAATAAGTACTGGGTCTAAATTTTTGTGCCAAAACACATCAAGTACCAAATGTGATAAATTTTAAAGTAGTGGAGTACCAAGGTATTACTCAATTACTGTCAGGTTGAAAATTTATTCTAAGGCCTTTGGAACTGTGACAGGAAATGTCTTGAAGCTTTAGATCAAGTTGAGGAATACTGGCATCTTAAAAATATTAATTCTTCCACCCAAGAACACGAAATGTTCATATTCCATGAGATGAAGATCCTCTTATTTAGATCTTCAATTTATTTCAGTAGTGCTTTGTACTTCTCAAGGCAAAAATCTTACACTTCTTTTGATGTATTAATTTCTAAGTCTTTTATTCTTTTTCATGATATTATAGAATTGTCTTATTTCATCCTTTGGCTTTGTGCTATACTATAGAATATAATTGATTTTTTATATTAATCTTATATCCTGAACTTTACTGCAACTCTTTATTCTAATGAATTTCAGTGGCCTCTTAAGATATCCTGCATATGAGATGAGATCACTTGCAAATAGACATAATTTAACTTCCCTGACAATTTAGAATGGTTTTGATTAAGTACCATGACTACAACTATATTGTTGAAAAGAACATAGGAAAGTGGATATTTCAGGAAGAAAGTATTCAGTCTTTTCCCATGAAGTGTATTGTCGTTCTTTTACCCTTAAATATGATAACTAAAGATTTTTCATAGATGTGCTTTATCTGGTTGAGCAATTTCCCTTCAGTTATCAAGTGTTCTTCTACTGTGAAAGTTACTAGATTTTGATGACTTTTATTTTTGTGGTACCAGGAATCAAACTGAGGGCCTCGAGCTTCCCAGGCAGGCACTGTGTTGCTGAGCTATATCCCTAGCCCAAAAGTTATTAGATTTTTATTAAATCATTTTCAGTGTCTTTTGAAATGGTGATCTGATTTTGGTCTTTTAGTCTATTAACATGATGTCGTATGTTGATTGAATTTTGGCTGTTAAACCTACTTTGCATTTCTGGAATAAAAATCTCATCCTTTTTGTATGTTGCAGAATTTCGTTGGCTTGTGTTTTGTACTAATATATATATTAATATATT